CGCCCCACCCCACCCCACCCCACCAGCAGGCCAGGCGTGCCCTGCAGAACGTGGCGTCTCAGCGGGTCAGGTGGAAGCCGTGCCTGCTTGTGTTGGACTTGCTTTTGGCTTGTGTGTAAACAAGCTGCCATCAAGTCGATTCCGACTCATGGCAACGCCATGGGTGTCGGAGTAGAACTGTGCTCCATAGGGTTTTCCATGACTGTGACCTTTCGGAAGCAGTTGCCAGGTCTTTTCTCTGAGGCATCTCTGGATGGGTGCGAACTGCCAACCTTTCAGCTGGTAGTCGAGCGCTTTACCACATGCTCCACCCAGGGACTTGGCTTGTGTTTAGTATGTCTTTATTTGAGAGTTGACATTGCAGTGTTTTTGAAAGTATCTACAGAACCATCTGAACTATAATTCCTGACTTGCACGAGCCTGTAGGCCCCTCTGCGGCTCTGGTGTTCTCAGCCCAGGGGCCACACGTGCTCGGAGTGCGGCCAGTGACTGGATTCGGTGTGTGTTTTACAGCTGCTAGGGCACAAAGGAAGCGCTGGATGCAAAGAGCTGTTTGTTTCTATTCCAACAGGTCATCTCAGCCTCTCTCTGGGGTGGAATGTTGGTGCCCATTGGTGAGAAGCCGTCGAGCATTGCCGATCGGTGAGTGAGAAGCACGTGGTCGCTGGCAACTGTTTTCCCTTTGGATCTTTTTGGTTGATTTCTCAGAAGATTCTTTAGGGAAGTTTAATGATTTAGGAGAGCAATATTTTACATTGTCCTTAGTTTTTATTTTTGAGCTAATCTGAAAATACTCAGTATACCTTATACTTAATATTTTTTACAATTTTTTTTGCGGGGGTGGCAAAGGTTACTTATTTTCTTATATTAAAAAACTTGACATTGTTCTTCTCTGATTATAAAAAAATACAGTTCATGTGCATTGCAGAAATATAAAAATAGAAAATTTTAAGGAAGTAAAGACTCAATCCTACCCATTGACAAGCTGAGGTAACATTTGAGACTATTTCCTTTTAGTCGATATTTTGTGGATGTGTGTTTATGGGTGTGTATATACACACATATATTTATTTATATGTACGTCTGTGTTAAGCTGGAGCCCTGGTGGCGCAGTGGTTAAGAGCTTGGCTGCTAACCAAAAAGTCTGCCGTTCAGATCCACCAGCCGCTCCTGGGAAACCCTACGGGGCAGTTCTGTTCTGTCTTGTAGGGTCAGTATGAGTTGGAATTGACTTGACGGCAGTGGGTTTGGTTTTATGCTAAGTTGTTGATATACTGTATTTTATTTATAGTTTTGTGTCCTTTTTAAAAAGTTTTTTAAGAAACCAGAGTAACCATTCACCAAGTCATGAAAAATTGTTCGTAAGCAGCATTTTAATGGCACACAATCTTTCATTATTTGTATATACCATAACTTTTTAGTCTACTCCTGTTTTTGGGTATTTCAGTTGGTTTTATTTCTGTGGTTTTTATAAATAACACTGTGAAGAATAACTTTGTAAACAATCAGTTGTTCGTTTTATTTTCTGAGAAGAGATTCATAAACATGGAAATAGTGTCTCAAAGAACGTGAATATTTTTAAGGCTCGTAAAGAATATTGCTGGGTCCTGCTTTTTAGAAAGGGTATGCAGTTGTACTTGTTGCTCTGAAATGCTAATAATTGTCCTCGGGGACAAGAAGCTTTGTTTTTAAAACGCTACATTAATTAAAATGTTTTAGCTTCAACTGGTTCAGCCTTTTTGGATGGTAGTTTAGAAATATAAAAACTTAAATTTGTAAACAATTTCACCTCCATGAGTCTAATTTACAGAAACACTCTTATAAACATGCAAGGGTTATTTACAAGGTTATCTGTCATAGTATTGTTGATAATAGCAAAAATTTAAAAACTGCCTTATCTAAGCCCATCAGTAGGGAAATGATTAAATTCTAGTATAACCATTCTGAAGAAGACTATAATTATTTTTAAAAATCAGGTAGATATCTGTAAGTTAAGAATTTGCATATAAAAGCAAATAGTTGGTCCCTTTCTAGTTAGGGGCCAAAAACCCCAGCGTGGGTGTATGTGTTTGCAGGCATAGTGGCGAGGGTCTGGAAGGGCAGTCAGCAAACCATTGGCAGTGTGGCCAGTTCTGGGGACTGGGATGTGGTGGGCAGACGAGGCAGGGGGAGGGACCTTTTCACTTTGTACGTTATACACTCCCTGGGTCGTTTGAATTTTTTTCAAAAGAACGTGTGATATATATATTTTTTTTTAACTAAGAAAACTTGCTGTTTGTTTTCTATAATTAACGTAAATGGGCTATTCAGAAAGGCTTTGCATTGAAATCCCAAGTAATAAGTAAACACACATTTTTAAACTCAAGTTCAAGTGCATAAATTCACCAAGGCTTCTGTGTGGCAAGAGGATCAGAAACATAGTGTCCTGGTTGTGCTTGTTCAGATACGTCCAACGCTTTTAGCAGGAAAGCACAGCCCCACGGGTCAGCAGGCACCCGTTAGCAGCAAAGCATGGCCCCATGGGTCAGCAGGCGTCTCTGAGGGCTTCTTTGGCAGCCATGCCAGAAAGACTGCACACCTCTCTTAGCATTTTAATTCATGATTTAGTAATTATTACTGTCTACAGTCGGGTTCCAGCAAGCTATTTGATTTTATAGAAAGTGGGTGGGGTTTCTGAGTAACTAATTTTTAATTTATGCACTTCACTTCATTCAGATATAGTTGAAAAGCATGATAATCCAGTCCACTAAGGAGTACAAGAGGAATTTATTTTTAAAAATTATAATATTTTGTTTTTCTAATTAAAAATCGTTGTCAAAAATATTTAAAAAATCTAAAATAACAGCAGTAGTATTTCGGTCTATTTCCTTCTAGTATTTTCTCCCCTTTTATGCTATTTGGATCCCACTGTAACATAATTTGTATCTTGCTTTTTGTTCTGAACATTACGTTTTGAGCAGTCAGGAGGCCTGTTCTGAAAAGGAAGCCCGTAATGAATTCTTGTAGAGAGTCTTCTGTAATGACAACACCCCCCCTTCTCCCCTGAACGTCTTCGTTTGTGCTTTGTGTCACACCTGCCTCCCCAGCAGCTTGAAGCATCTGGTTAAGTTTAGATCTTCACGAACCGTGTGTGTCTTTCTGATCCTCTGGTGGGTGTTTTGCCGTGTGAAAGTGATGTTGATATGCGGTGCCAAAGGTGACTCTGACTTAGGCACTTTCGATGTCTGCTGTCGTGTTTCACCTGGTGACTTAGCTCTACCGTTTCGTTTTTGTTTAGGTTTTACCTGGGTGGTCCGACCAGCGTCCGTGGATTTAGCATGCACAGCATCGGGCCTCAGAGCGAAGGTGTGTCGTCCCACGATCCCGCCACACCAAATAACGGGCACAGAAGTTGTGAGAGCCTGCGTTTATTTGTTTTCAGCAGGCCTAGATGTTCCTATCTGTCACTGCCGAATCAGCACCTAATTCCATGTCTGCCCCACAGCAGGCAGGGAGTAGACAGCTGTTGAGTAAATTGTAGAAAAAGCAGAAAATATGTCAAAGCCAAGCTTGAAGTGACCCATAATTCCGCCACCCAGAGAGAATGTGCGTGAGCGTCTTGTTTTATGTTCCTTTCGGGCTGTTGACGTGCGTCTTCACGCTCCTGTTGTAACTCGTTGTATTTCCCTGCTAGTTTCTCACGTGTCCCCTCCCCCACTGTAGAAATACCAGGTGTATTTTTATGAGAAGGAATATTTAATCATTTTTAATAGCTGCATATTTTGTCTTATTGACATAATTTTTTTAACCAAATCCCAAGTTAAGGACATTGAGACTGTTTTCCTTTTTTCGCGATTTTAAAACAATATTCAGTGACTGTCCTTCTAACTGTGTGCTCCTCTGTGTATTCTGCTTTAATAGAAAATTCTAGACGTGTAGTTGCTAGGTCAGAGGATTTTGATATTTTAGGGCTTTGTATTGTTGTCTAGAAAGGTTGTCTCGATTGTATTCTCTCCAGCAGTGTGTGAGAATTCCTGTCTCCAGGAATCCTCTTACACGTGACATTATAGCAGAGATGTAATCAGATGTATCTCTGCGTGGTAGTCAAAACTTCAAAAGCATCATTTTAAATGGATGCGTGTTGTTCCATTTTAAAGTATATTGCCCTGATTTTCTTAACCATTTTTTAACATCTTTGTTAATTCCATTTTATATCATTATAATGACTGCAGTGTGCATAAATTTTTTGTACAAAATATAGATTTGTCTTTCTGCATGTTTTTAGAGTGCTTCATTAGAGTTTCAGATTTTTTAGAAAAGTAACAAGAGTTTTGGGTGACTTTATTTCATTCTTTTTTTATTATAAGCAAGTATGATATGGCAACTATATGAAAGTTTAGGAATCTTCCACTTACCTGAGAATTAAAACACACGATACTCCGCTTACTGCTTATCACGTAGGCCATTGGTAAGACTCAGTGGGCAAGGGTGTAAGATGCCTTAACTTTCATGAAAGCAATTTGAGGATAGGCATCAAGAGCCTTAAACAGGTTTATTCTTTTTAACCCAGTAATCCCCTTCTAGAAATCTATCCAAGGGAAATAGTAAGAGATGCTATAAAAATACGTGTGCAAGGAATATTCATAATAGCCCCAAACTGGAAACTACCCAAATATCCATTAACAATAGAATAGGTAAAGAAGTAGTCGTATCTTCACACTGTGAAATATGATACAGCACTGAGGATGAAATGATTACAGCCACTGGCCGAAGGATGGCATGAATGAGCCTCAGAAATGTGCAAAAAAGAACAGGCCTGGAGAAATGTATAGTGTGTGCTTCCATTTATGTGAAGTGTAGGACCTGGCTGAACTAATCTGTGCTGTTAAAAGAACCAGGTGCTGTTAAGTCGACTTTGACTCATGGCGACCCCATGTATGTCCATAGAGTTTTCAATGGCTGATTTTTCAGGAGTAAATCGCCAGACCTTTCTTCCAAGGCACCTCTGGATGTACTCAAATCTCCAGTCTTTCAGCTAGCAGTAACCGTTTACACCACCCAGGGCCGGTCTCTGCTGTTAGCCACCAGGGTAGTGGTTGCACTTGGCCTGAGTGGTGGTGTCTTAGTCATCTAGTACTGGTGTACAGAAATACTACAAGGGGGTGGCTTTCACAAACAAATTTATTTTCTCACAGTTTAGGAGGCTAGAAGTTCAAATTCAGGGTGCCGGCTCTAGGGGAAGGCTTTCTCTCCCCGTCGGCTCTGGGGGAAGGTCCTTGTCTCTTTTCAGCTTCTCTTCTTCGGTCCCTTGGTGACCTTCATGTGGCACCCCGTCTCTGTGTCTCTGTTTGCTTCTCTGTGCCTTATCTGCTCAGTTTACATGTCAAAGGTGATTGGCTTAAAATACACCCTACACTCTTATTGCCTCATTAACATAACAAAGAAAAACCCTATCCAAATGGGATTACATCCACAAGTATAGGGGTTAGAATTTACAACACATATTTTTGGGGACACAATTCAGTTCATAACATGTGGGTAGTGATTAAAATGGAGAACGGGGCTTCTAGAGGGCTGGCCGTGTTCTGTTTTTTGATCTGGGGGCTTGTTACCTGGGTGTCTTCAGTGTGAAAATCCATTGAGCTGTACACTTAGAATGTTTGTACTTTTCTATATGAATATTGTATGTCAGTACAAGGTTTACAAATAGGTGTGTGTTTGTGCACAAGGGTTCCCCTTTCAGGTTAATGCCCACTATCGTGGAATTAGAGACCAGGGTGACGCTAGAAGGCGAGCGGGTACTGAATTACGGTGTATATCTCTGTGATTATTGAGGAGCCCTGGTGGCGCAGTGGTTACGCGCTGGGTGACTGCTAACCAAAAGGTCAGTGGTTTGAACCCACCAGCTGCTCCATGGCAGAAAGATAGCAGTCTGCTCCCAGAAAGATTACAGCCTTGGAAACCCTTGGGGGCAATTCTGCTCTGTCCTGTAGGGTTGCTATGAGTCGGAATCAGGTTGATGGCACACAGCAACAGTGTGATTTTTCAGCTGTAGAAATCACATTTTCACAGAGTATAGGGGAAAGTGCTTATAATATGTTAAACTAAAAAAAAAGACTAGAAACCATATTTATTAAATGAACCAAATTTTATTTACTTATTTAATTATACTTTACATTTCACTGGAAGGAAGAATGCAGGCTGTTAGCTGGTTATCTGTGAATGGTAGAAATTAGAAGAAAGGTTTATTTTTTTCCTGATTCTCTATATTTATCAGATTTTCTACAGCGAGTTTTTTACTTTTATTATCAGAATACAGTTATTTAAGGAAAGAAAAGGCTGTTTCTGGGAAATAGAAAGCAAACTTGACCTCCTGTTATTTGTCCCTTCTTCGTTTCCTCTAGAAACATGAATGTATTAGACATTCATACATATGTATTAAATGGGATTAAGGAAAGAGCTGCTGATTTCTCTAAGTGAATAAACAGCTCTTTCCTTGAGGTCAGTCCCAGAGACATCCAGTATTTATCTTTGTCATGATCTGTTGTTTTGCATTAAAAGGACTACAATCCTTTATAAATAATATTTTACAACAAAGTATAAACATTTCAGAGTCTTTTTTTTTGGGGGGGGGTTCCCTTCAGTGTGGCTATTTATAGTTAAAATGGAAGGGATAAGAGCATTTTCAGAAATGATGAAAATGTGTGCCCTCAGTGGGTAGCCTTTAATTTTGGCAAAATTAACCTTTCTCCAAAATAAAAAATTCGAGGTGGTCATGAACCTTCACAGGTAGCCGCTTGTCTGCAGACACCGGGCCCCGGCGGGTGTGAGGGGTCGCGTTGTGCCGTGGATGGCCGATGCTGCGTGCCTTTTCATTCATAGCGTGTTCATCCACTTCCCGATCCTGCAGAGAGGTTTTCTGCATTGTGCCTCTCAACATTGTGGCCTTGAAATTTTGGCAAAAATAATACATTTCATTTGCCGGGGCCAAAGGGCTGTGGTCATCTGCAGTTGTGGATAAAGTGATTTTTACGAGATTCCATTCTTTCCTAAGCTATGCTGGCTTTTTTTTTTTTTCTTCCCCAGTTACAGCAAATTATAAAACAAAATCAGGATAAAACGATGATTTAAAATGAGGCCAACGACACCAGGAGTTAGAAAAGCTGCTCTTTGTAGGGCTGGGTGCTTATTTATATGAAATAAGTCTTGTGTAGATTGTGGAGAGTTCACGTGACCGACATCTGTGTGACCTTGTTCTTGTTCTGTGCCCTTCCCCGATAGGAGACTACCTGGGAGGGGAAGCGTACTGGGCTGGTGGCCTGCACCTCTATACCCCGCTGCCTTTCCGGCCAGGCCAGGGCGGCTTCGGAGAACTTTTCAGAACACACTTCTTTCTCAACGCAGGAAACCTCTGCAGCCTCAATTATGGTAAAGCTTGGACTGTTAGAGAAACCTTCTGACACAGCTAACTTTGTGTTTAAAAGCCACGCACACACATAGGTGTCTGTCTGTTTTTAGATTCCGTAGGCTTTAGATGTAAAGACTGTGCCTTACTTTAAACAGTTCCTACAGCCCCTGTATAGTACCCGGAACAAAGCTGTTGATACAGTGGCTGAAGCATGCAGGGATAATAGTTATCAGTGCTGTCTGCAAAGAAAAACCTATCCATCCCTTTATTCAGCAAACATTTCTTGAGCGCTTACCGTATTCCAGCCATTACGGCCACAGAGCTGAGGACAATTCCGCCCCTTCCCCCAGCAGCTCAGGTCTAAGGAGACTCAGCAGACGGGTACAGTTGGTGGGAAGAAAGAGTCGTGGGAAGCTTCCCAGATGGCCTTGGAGCTGAGGCTGGGAGGAGCATTTCCCAGGATGTCAGGGCAGGGGAAGCCAGCATGGGCCAAGGCAATGGAGTGTGCCCAAGGACTGTGGAGGCACGGTTCACTCGGGGACGGGCAGCACGTATGGTCCCAAAGCTTCTCTGGTCCTCATCTCACTTCATCTACTCTCCTTGCAGCCTGGGGCCCAGCTTTAAGCGGTACCACTGGGCAGACGGCAGGGGAGAGCCAGGGTTTGTCTGAGGGTGGCTTTGAAAGGACAGGACGCTGTTGGTCTCACGCCCTTTTCTCTTTCCAGGGGAGGGCCCCAAGGCCCATATCCGCAGGCTGGCTGAGTGCATCCGCTGGTCGTATGGTGCCGGGATCGTCCTCAGGCTTGGCAACATTGCCCGCCTGGAGCTTAATTACTGCATCCCCATGGGTGTCCAGAGGGGCGACAGGTCAGTGCCCGCCTTGTCTTCCACACTCGCCTCCCGCTTTCCAGTCATTTTATCTTGGTTTGAACGCGGTTCATCATTTCTTCAGTGGCCTTTAAGATTCAAGATTTTAGACACAATTGAATAGTTAGCGAAAGAATGGAAGTATATATGTTTTCCTCCAATGGGTTTTTCTCCATCCATTTTGGAAGAAAAAATGTCCTGTGTTCCCATCCCCCACCCCAGGCTACCTGTGACTCCGTTACACAAGCAGCCGGGGTGGCTCCTGGTCTGGCTGGCGGAATTGAGTTGGTGCTGTTAATCCTGCTTGCAGGAAGTGGGAAGAGGGTTTTCCTGACTTTGCAGGCCAGGGCTCAGGTTGGAGGGACGAAGGTTTGCCTCCAGCCATAGAAGATTCATTCTCGAGAGCATTCTCAGCCCTGGAGGAGTGTTTCCCAGCAACCTTCAACCTTAGCCCTTCCCCTAGTCATGGTACTGAGGAAAGATCTGCTAAATATTACATGGGTGAATACGGTACAGGGCATTACAGTTAGAGAAATTGATTTTAATTCCGTTTCTTACGTTGTGTGCGTTGTGTACATTTTCAGAACTCAGGAATTGCTGTGATGACAGCATTTATGTTGTCTCCTACTGTTGCGTACTTGCACGTTCAGTACGCTAGGCTCCATTGCTTTCCCCTCAGCTTTCGTCTTGTGTTGCCCCCAGTGGTGTGCTGTCTGAGTCGTAGCCCGGGTTTTAAACGTGAAGTTGTAGTTTGTCCTCGTTTAAGGAAATACTCTCCCATTTTTACACTTACTAAGTCTTCTACTTCTGCCACGCGTCTGTCAGTTTGTCATACCTTGGGGCTGGCATGTTGCTGTGATGCTGGAAGCTATGCCACCAGTATTCAAATACCAGCAGGGTTAACCATGGCGGACAGGTTTCAAAGACCTGGAGTTAGAAGACCAAAAGGGAAGAACGTGCTTGGCATTTCTCAAGCTGAAAGAACTGAAGAAAAAATTCAAGTCATGAGTTGCAATATTGAAGGATTCTATGGGGAAAATATTAAACGACATAGGAAGCATCAAAAAAGATGGAAGGAATACGCAGTCACTGTACCAAAAAGAATTGGTCGATGTCTAACCATTTCAGGAGGTAGCATATGGTCAGGAACCGATGGTACTGAAGGAAGAAGTCCAAGCTGTGCTGAAGGCATTGGCGAAAAACAAGGCTCCAGGAATTGATGGAATGTCAACTGAGATGTTTCAACAAACGGATGCAGCACTGGAAGTGCTCACTCATCTATGCCAAGAAATTTGGGAGACAGCTACCTGGCCAACCGACTGTTAGACATCCGTATTTATGCCTTTTCCAAAGAATGGTGATCCAACCGAATGTGGAAATTATCCAACAATATCATTAATATCACACACAAGTAAAATTTTGCTGAAGATCATTCAGAAGCGGCTGCAGCAGTGTATCGACAGGGAACTGCTAGAAATTCAAGCCGGATTCAGAAGAGAATGTAGGACCAGGGATATCATTGCTGATATCAGATGGATCTTGGCTAAAAGCAGAGAATACCAGAAAGATGTTTACCTGTGTTTTACTGACCATGCAAAGGCATTCGACTGTGTGGATCATAGTAAATTATGGATAACATTGTGAAGAATTCGAATTCCAGAACACTGAATTGTGCTCGTGAGGAATCTGTACATAGATCAAGAGGCAGTCTTTTGAACACAGCAAGGGGATACTGCATGGTTTAAAGTCAGGAAGGGTGTGCATCAGGGTTATATCCTTTCACCATACTTACTCAGTCTGTATGCTGAACAAATAATCTGAGAAGCTGGACTATATGAAGAGGAACGGGGCACGAGGATTGGAGGAAGACTCATTAACAACCTGCGATATGCAGATGACACAGCCTTGCTTTCTGAAAGTGAAGAGGACTTGAAGCACGTTCTGATGGTGATCAACGGTTACAGCCTTCGGTATGGATGACACCTCAACATCAAGAAAACAAAAATCCTCACAACTGGACCAATAAGCAACATCATGATAAATGGAGAAAAGATTGAAGTTGTCAAGGGTTTCATTTTACTTGTAGCCACAATCAACACCCATGGAAGCAGCAGTTAAGAAATCAAAAGACGCATTGCACTGGGCAAATCGGCTGCAACAGACCTCTTTAAAGTGTTGAAAAGTAAAGATGTCACCTTGAAGACTAAGGTGTGCCTGACCCAAGCCATGGTGTTTTCAATCACCTCATATGCATGCGAAAGCTGGGCAACGAATAAGGAAGACCAAAGGAGAATTGACACCTTTACATTGTGGTGTTGGCGAAGAATATTGAATATACCATGGACTGTCAGAAGAGCGAACAAGTCTGTTTTTGAAGGAGTACAACCAGAATGCTCCTTAGAAGCAAAGATGGTGAGACTATGTCTCACGTACTTTGGACATGTTGTCAGGAGGGACCAGTCCCTGGAGAAGGATATCATGCTTGGTAAAGTAGAGGGTCAGCAAAAAAGAGGAAGACCCTCAACAAGACGGATTGACTTAGTGGCTGCAACAATGGCCTCAAACATAGCAGCGATTGTGAAGATGGCGCAGGACAAGGCAGTGTTTCCTTCTGTTGTCTGTAGGGTCGCTATGAGTCGGAACCAACTCGACTCCACCTAACAACAACAACAAGTCTTCTACTTCGCTGTAGACAATGGTGCTTTTTAAAAGGTGATCACCTTAGCAGGCTTTTAATGCCACCTTATTACATAGGAGCAGGTCAGTAGCTGTCCTTCAGACCCACACAGCTGTCACTTCAGTAGAATCCACTCTTCCTCACGTTCTCGCAGGAGGGCCAAGTCCACGACTGCTCTGTGTCCAGAGGCACTGCAGGGCTGCCACGGCTCTCGTCATGTGAGAGCCCTTCCGGTACCTTCACACCTTGCCTGTTCTGGTACCAAGTGAGGCTGGAGAAGGTTAGGCATGCAGGCAGGCAGACAGACTGGGCACTCTCAGCCCAGCTGCCCAGGCTTGAACCCTGCTGGGCCACTCCTGCGCTGTGTGACTGAGTGAGTTGCTTAACCTCTCCGGGCCTCAGTTTTCACACCCAGAGAACGGAAGATGATGGTGACAAGTTTCCAGGTTGGCTGTGAGGACGAAGTGAATTAGCACGCGGAGCATTCCCAGTACCTGGCCGTTGTCAGGAAGCGCTGGCTGCTTCTTATGTGGTGGTCACTGTTGTGGCTGTCGTGTTCACCGTGGCCAGCTTTTCCCGGACGAAGCCACCAGCATTCACAGCTCCTGTAGGAGACGTCTCCCTTCCCCCCGCACACCGCCGTGTGGCTGCCACCAGGCCGACAGTGCTGGGAACAAGCGTTCTGATTGCAGAGAGTGAACATGAGAAAACGGGGCCTGAGAACTGCCGAGCTAGCCCAGAGTGTGCGTTAGATAACCTCTTAGCAAAGACCCCACAAACCTTTACTGTCTTAAGTAAATGAGGCTCGCTTTGCAAGAGAGCCACTCAAACTGTATCCTACAAAGCTTTTGTTCCCCTGCACATGGTCTCCTCACTTAACCCCCAGGTGCTCCTCAGATCCTTGCAGGTAGCCCAGAGGTGCGAGTGGTGCGCCTCTCCGGAACAGCACCTGGGATGCGGCCGTCTGGCCGGCGCCTCACGCTGCACTCTGTCTCCTTCACCTGGCGTTGGCTTAAGGGCAGACTCGAGTCCTTCATCTTGGTGGCTCGAAATCCTGCATCCTAACATGCCCCTCGGGGTGCTGATGCCCTGTCCGGGGACCAGCCACGCTTTGGGGTAGGGAGGGTCTGAACGGCTGCATACCTGTGCTGGGAGCAAGGATAACGCTTGGGGGAGGGAAGGAGCTGATGAGTACTTATTCAGTGCTTGCCTGTGTCAGACGCCAGGCTCAGCACCTAGCGTTACCAGGTCTCACAGCAGCTCTGTGCAGTAGAGGGCATCACGCCTTTTGACAGATGAGGAAGGAAAGACTCCGCAGTGTAAGCAGTCAGCCAGGCTGATTGCAAAGCTTAGACTCTGCTGCCACACCAGAAATGAGCAAACCAGAAATGGCCACGGCCATCGCCACCACGCCGTGGCGCCCCCTCCACCCAGGCCTGCTGTCACCCACGGAACGCACCGTGCCCATCGTCTCTGTCCTCACGGAGCTCCGTGCCGGAGCTTTTGTTCACACCTGGATTCCGCGCTAGCTCCCCGTCTCAGGGAACACACACGCAGGCTGTGTCCACTGCAGTCAGTTAAAACCAAAAAACCAAGCCGCTGCCATCGAGTCGACTCCGACTCGTAGCAACCCCACAGGACAGAGTGGAACTCCCCATAGAGTTTCCCAGGAGCGGCTGGTGGATTCAAACTCCCGACCTTTTGGTTAGTAGCCGAGCTCTTAACCACTGCGCCACCAGGGCTTCTTACAGTCACTTGGTGCGTATTAATTTTGTTTAATGTTGTCCGAATTATATGAGTATATATATTGTAAATTTTTTTTGTCCCAGAAAGAACTAGAAGTGTGTTTGCTTGGCCGCCACGTTCTTGTCATTTCTGGCGCTGGTGCCGACCACCGCAGGCTGACTGTGTGCACCCTCTGGAAGCCCTGAAATAGCCGGGGGCTGCAGTTGGGGCTCAGTGCCGGCCTTCCTGTCACTCACTGGCCATGGGACATGGGGCACGTGTCCAGCTCTGGGCCTGCTGCCCTTTGCACTGAGTGGTGGTGCTCAGTGACATGACCCGCAAGGTCCTTCGCCCCTGCCACCACCATCGTTGGCAGTACTGCGTGTGGCCACTGGGTGTCACTGTGCTCCAGGAGGTCAGCACTCTCAGGAGTCCTGTTTCCTTTACCTGCTCTCAAATAGCCTTTAAAGAGAGTGGCTCCACTCCCTCTACACTCTGCCTCTCTCCAGATTAAATTTGTAAAATATGTTTCGGAGATGGATCTCAAAATGCAGTTTTCTCTGGGAGGAGAAAGCACACTGTGCTGCACTCAATCCTTACAGACGGGAACGGGAGGGCGCCCCTCGCCCCGGCTGGGCAGCCGCACTGCGTCCGTGGTGGGTGCAGCGGAGCTTCACTGTGTGCAGTGCCCTGGTGGGCCAGCCTGGCCTCTCCTCTAACCCTGAACGCAGAAACCGCCTTCATAAAAATCGGAACTTCGTCACTTTGAGTGAGGCTGCGGGAATTTTATCTTCGTTGTTAAATTTTGGCAGCTAGCCAGGCAGGGTGTACTTGCATGCCGATCACCCATAGATTCCCCCTGTAGTCAGTGTGGGTGCTCTGTCCTTAGGATTCAGACCTTTATACAAATGGAAGCAGGTTTGAAATGTTTGCTGGGTCCTGCGTTGGCAGAGATTTGTGGCACCGTTGTCTCAGATCCACCAGCATCTGTCACAGCATGCCTTACCGAGTGCAGCCTCTGGAGACATGGTGACTAAGGTGGCCCATGGGGAGAGCCTCTCGCCCGCCCGCAGACAGTGAAGGAGGAAGATGAGCAAGGAGCATTGCCGTCAGGGGAGGGTGCTGGGAAAGGCTGAGGAGGTAACACCTGGGTGGACTCCTCTGGAAGGCCATCCAAGTCCTTGCAGGGCGAGCACCGCAGGAGCGGTTGGAGCTGTCCGGTGCCGGGAGGGAGCGCATGTGGGCCAGAAGTGCAGTGTGGGGAGGGCCGAGGCGTGCTGGAGCCAGCTCGGAGAGGCTGAATTCTATTTGCTCTCGTCCCCCACCCTTCCTGACCCTCCAGCTGCACAGGCCTCTCCCACTCACGTACAGGCAGGGACCTCGCCTGCCTGCTCACCTCTGAATTCCCAGTCCTGGAGCAGTGCCTGGTGTTCCCGGTAATCACTAGATGGAAAAGCAAGAGCGTGGCTCCTGGCGCACTTGGGGAAACCGCGTGCAAGGCACCGAGGGTTAGAGAAGGGGAGTGACCTTCATGAAGACCCATGTGGTGGCCCTGGTGGTGCTGGGTTACAGGCAGGGGAGAATACAGGCAGGTGAGAGTGCAAGCAGGGGAGAATACAGGCAGGTGGGAGTGCAGGTAGGGGAGAGTGCAGGCAGGTGAGAATACAGGCAAGTGGGAGTGCAGGCAGGTGAGAATACAGGCGGGTGGGAGTGCCGGCAGGTGAGAATACAGGCGGGTGGGAGTACAGGCAGGTGAGAATACAGGCGGGTGGGAGTGCAGGCAGGTGAGACTACAGGCGGGTGGGAGTTCAGGCAGGTGAGAATACAGGCGGGTGGGAGTGCAGGCGGGTGAGAATACAGGCGGGTGGGAGTGCAGGCGGGTGAGAATACAGGCGGGTGGGAGTGCAGGCGGGTGGGAGTACAGGCGGGTGGGAGTTCAGGCGGGTGAGAATACAGGCAGGTGGGAGTGCAGGCTGGTGAGAATACAGGCGGGTGGGAGTTCAGGCAGGTGAGAATACAGGCGGGTGAGAATACAGGAGGGTGGGAGTGCAGGCAGGTGAGAATACAGGCGGGTGGGAGTGCAGGCGGGTGGGAGTGCAGGCGGGTGAGAATACAGGAGGGTGGGAGTGCAGGTGGGTGAGAATACAGGCTGGTGGGAGTTCAGGCGGGTGGGAGTGCAGGCAGGTGAGAATACAGGCGGGTGAGAATATAGGCAGGTGGGAGTGCAGGCGGGTGAGGTGCAGGCAGGGGCCAGAACTAAGACAGTGACAGTCGGAAGAAGGGAGGGAGACCTGGGCGATGTGTAGAGCCCTTTCTGAGCCACCTGCTGAGTTGAGTAATAGGAACAGAGACATCACCCTACTCTGTCCCTTACTGGCTATGGGAGGCGGGTGTGGGTGACACAGCAGAGTGATGGATGTTTTGGTGAAGGTCTTGAGGATGTAAAAAGCCCAGCTATACCTGGCATTATGTAACTTTCACGTAGTTTTGAATATTTGTAGTGGGTGTTTTTTTCCTGGGACATGTTTATATAGTCCCTGAACAGAAACTTGTGCTCATAAAATTGTTTAATCTGTTCAGAGTTAAACAAGCCTGTATTGGAATGCCTGCTTGTTTCCTGAATTATGTGAGCCAAAGGCTTGACTGACTTGTTATCACGTAGCTTATTTTCAGACATTTTTCCAAATGTAGAATGTGCATGTAAGCCTAGGCCACTTTTACCAATCTCCTGGCATAAAATGTATAAACAAATGATTTAGATCTGAACAAAATGCTGTTTTACAAGGCAGTCGAGGTTTTGATTTTAAATCCGGCTTTCCAGCTTGTTGGTGTGGTCTCCTGTAGATCACTGTTTTCTGGTTAGACACTTCTGCTGTGCAAGTGGCTAATGAGCACCATTGACCGGTCAGCAGGCCGGAGGCCACGTTAATGATCGCCTCTCTTGAATCTCATAATAGACCAGATATTTTGTGTCCTTGTTCAGCATCAGGATGGAAAAGAAAAACATCCACGCCATTTTTCATAAGCTCCCAGCCATCCGCTCCGACGAGGGGGCAAGTGTTATGGTGGTGGAAACGTCAGCTCTCCCCAGAGTGACCAAGCTGTTCTCAGTGCCCCGTCTTTCTAGACTTTGTCCACAGCTTACAAAAATGGCCACCTTCCACAAACGCACCGTCAGCTGCTAGCTGGGTTCTGAGTGTCATTTTTCCCGGGAAGTCTGTACTTCCTGGTGGTTTGGCTCTCAAGTCAGGAGGAAGGAAGGGGCGGGAGAGCCCGGGCCTCTGGAGAGCTGGCTGGGGCCAAGAGAGGGGGCTCAAGGGGTGGGGGAGCCCGGGCCTCTGGAGAGCTGGCTGGGGCTGAGAGAGGGGGCTCAAGGGGGGGGAGAGCCTGGGCCTCTGGAGAGCTGGCTGGGGCTGAGAGGGGGCTCAAAGGGCGGGAGAGCCCGGGCCTCTGGAGAGCTGGCTGGGGCCGAGAGAGGGGGGTCAAGGGGCAGGAAGGTCTGCACGAGCAGGAGCTGCGTGAGCGTTGCTTCCTGGGAGGTACATGTATGGACTTGTGAAAATAGGAGGGGAGCAGACCAGACCGTTGTATTTGATTCCTCACTTCTTTTTGTTTTAATTTTAGGATATGTGATGGCGTCCAGTTTGGAGCTGGGATAAGGTTCCTGTAGCTGCAGCACAGCCCCTCTCGCTCCCTTGGGGAGACCCTCTGGGGTCCAGGCTGCAAACGAGTCGCTTGGTGCCACACGCCTTTCCCTCAGAGTACGCGCACTGGCGTGACACTCTGACTGCAGCCCTCATGGGAGATGACAATAAATTTTACAGACCAACACCCAGACACGCTGTGGATGCAGTTTCCTTCCCCCAGCCAGTGTGGACCTGGTCAGGGTGTGAAACAGTTGATGAGGCCGCGTGTGTGTGCACACATGCTCCCCAGATCCCCTCAGGCCGTCCCCAGACTCCCTCCATCCCAGACTCAGGTCCCCTCGGGCTGTCCCCACACTCCTTCCATGCCAGACTCAGGTCCCCTCGGGCCGTCCCCACACTCCTTCCATGCCAGACTCAGGTCCCCTTGGGCCGTCCCCACACTCCTTCCATGCCAGACTCTTGGCGTCTCAGAGTTTGTTCTCCATGTACCGCAGGTGTTCGGTAGAGCTAAAGCCGGGAGGGTCTGGCCGTGTTCCCAGGACCCAGCCCCTGTGGTGGGGGAAGGGGGTGTTCTGGTGACGCTTAGGATAGCGCCAGGCGGAGACCCATGTTGATGGACGTCACTAGATTGTTTGATTCACTTACATGCGTGTGAGTCGTGTGAGAGAGGAATCACACTGTGTGCCATCAGGGACGCTGAGGCAGGCGGAAGGCTGCTGTCATCTGTGGAGTTGTTAGGTGCCTTCGGGTCAGTTCCAACCCATAGCGACCCCATTTACAACAGAATAAAACACTGCCCAGTCCTGCGCCGTCCTCACAATTGTTGCTATGCTTGAGCCCATTGTAGCCACTGTGTCAATCCATCCCGTTGAGGGTCTTCCTCTTTTTCGCTGACCCTCTACTTTACCAAGCATGATGTCCTTCTCCAGGGATTGATCCCTCCTGATAGCATGTCCAGAGTGTGTGAGATGCTGTCTCTCCATCCCTGCCTCTAAGGAGCATTCTGGCTGTACTTCTTCCAAGACAGACCTGTTGGTTCTTTCGGCCGTCCATGGAGTAGTAGTTGTATTAATAAGACTAGTGCATCTGTTTCCTGTTACTGTGTAATAGATTGCCACAAACCTAGTTGCTTAAAACAGCGCGATTATCATCTTACAGTCTGGAGGTCAGATTTTAGTCTCATTGGACTAGAATCGAGATGTGGGCAGGGCTGGCTCCTTCTGGAGGCTCCCAGGGAGAATCTGTTTCCTTGCCTTTTCTGGCTTCTAGAGGCCACCGGCATCCCTTCGCTCGTGGCCCCTGCCTCTGTCATCAAAGCCAGCAGCATAGCATCTTCAAATCTGATTCTTCTCTTCTGCCACCTCCTTCCATCTTCCAAGGATCCTGTGATTCCACTGGGCCTCCTCAGATAACCCAGAAGAGTCTATTTTAGGATCAGCTCATCAGCAGTCTTCATTCCCCCCGCCAAGTAATGACACATCCATAGGTTCCGGGACTAGGACGTGGACGTTTTGGGAGTCTGCTCTTCTGCCTAGCCCAACTCGGATCTCTCGTAGTATTTCATCACATGAAAGAAGTTAAAAAAAAAGTAGCGCAGGCCGTTCGAGCTTATATCAAAATGCTTCCTCCAAGATCTTCCCAGCGCCCAGCTGGGCCAAGGACCTGGAGTTTATGTCTGTGCCCGTGAGCTTGGCTTCCAGGAGCAGCCTTGTCCCGAGCGGTCCCTGGGCTGAGCTCATGGGACGGAGACCATCTGTCCTCGTTGCCTGTGTGGGCACCGGGCCTTTGCAGAGAATATGGACGAGGAAACCATTTTACCTTCTATGAGCAGTTGGGAACATAGGAAAATAAACCTTTTCCCCTAAATTTGATGTTTGATTGTTCAGTTTCACATTTATGCCTTTGGCAGAATAAGAACCGAGGTCACAACACTCAATTTCAGACGCAGAAAATGAGGAACGGTAGAATCCGAGGAATACAAGCTCTCCCACACGTGGTGTTTGAGAATGCCTCCAGCTGTCAGCAGAGCAGAGAACAGGGTGCTGAAAAGGTCAGGCTGAATCAGGCGGCCCAGGTAGCTCCGGGTCACCCCGACATGCACCTTGATGAAAGTGCGCTTAATGAAGGGTCCCGCGGTCTCCAGAGGATGTGACGGGGTTCAGCTGCCAGCAGCTCCACAGGCTGCCCCTTCGCAAGGTGAAACGACACGGTGGAGGGGTTGGTGACATGCGGTTTCTGTTCGTTTGTGGGTGGCAGTATGTGGGCAGGCTGGAGCTAGAGCCAGAAGCCTGGCAAGGAGAGCCCACGAAAGACTGAAACAAGGAAGGTGCACGGTGGGAGGTGATTTCTCACGGCTGATACTTGAGTGCTCACTTGTAATAAAGAGCCCTGGTCGTGCAGTGGTTAACGCCGTGGCTGCTAACTAAAAGGTCAGTGGTTTGAACCCACCAGCTGCTCCGCGAGAGAAAGACATGGCAGTCTGCTTCCGTAAAGATTTACCGCCGTGGAAACGCTGTGGGGCAGTTGTGCTCTGTCCTGTAGGGCTGATGTGAGTGGGAATCGACGGTGGCACACAACAGAATGTGATAGAAGGGAGACAGGAAGTGCATAGTCCTGTCCTCCACGAAGCGCCACCTGGGCTGAGTGGGTCTCTGCGTCTTAATTGTACCCCATCTCTTCACCTGAATATTCTGTGCTGGAAGGGGTTTTACCTTTAATTAACCTCTTGCTTCACTCTGGGAGAGACGGGCCGCAGAGCCCTGTGGTTTGTTCTGATGGAGAACTGCTGTTTCCCTCCAGACACCTGCTGGGCCTTTGTAACGGGGAGACCGCAGTGGAGGACAGCGAGCCGCATGGGGCCTCGGCCTCCGCCTTCAGGAACATGTGGTGTTCCGTACACACCGGACCCTTGACGCAGGGTCCGTGAGTAGCGGGCTCACCAAGCAGCGCTGTGGTCACTCGTGGCCCGTCTGCTGTCCGCAAGTGTTACGGACATGGCGGGAGCCAGCTGTGCTGCCCGATGCTGCAGATACTGGGACAGAGGACGGTCCCATAGACTGGGCAACCGGTGATGAAGACATGCCCAATTGAGCCGTGTCTCCCCTTAGATTGGTTCCCACAAAGCCCTTCATTTTGATAACCTCCCATGCCTGCAGCCCTTTGGGCTAAGGAAAGAACTTGCTTTAATTTGTGAATTCGTATTTCTCTTAAGAAGACCAGATCGACTAACTTACCTGTAGGACAGTTAGGTGCCCTCAGATGCACCCTGTATTTCAAGATCAGGAAGAGGGGAGAAAAGCTGAGAGAACAAAAGCTGGTGAATTGCATTTTGAATAAAATGAACAGTTTCTGAAATCAGGTGACTGCACTCGAAAATCCAAGTTTCTGGCTTCTCTGAAAAAGTTGGGTCTGGCAACAAGAGATCTTCGTTCCTGCCAGCAGTGGTGCGTTGGAGTTGGGAGGTGGGCCCCCAGCCGTGGCTCACTCCCAGGTGTTCCTGGGCCCCCTCTGACGGTCTGTCTCACTGTCCACGTCTTGTCTGGTCCTGACCTTGGCCAGTCAGGACTAGAAGCCCCTGACAGTTTGGAGGCAGGATTGGGAAGACAGCTGTGGGGAAGTGGACAGCAAGGGAGCCCAGAGTTGGGCGCCCTGGTTCTTGTCCCCCTGGCTGTTCACCAAATCCTGTCACTTCTTTCATCCATCAAAGGATGAGACGTGGGGGACTCGAGCACATACTTGTACACCAGTGTCCATCACAGCACTATTCACAATAGCCCAAAGATGGAGACGACCCCAGTGCCTGGCAACAGATGGAGAAGCACAACGTGGCCTGTCCGCACAGTGGAATATTACTCAGCCGTAACGAGAAGCGAGGTCCCGAGATGCGCTACAACATGGATGAACCTTGACAACACGATGCCAAGTGAAAGAAGTCAGACACAAAAGGGCAAATATTATATCATCTCATTTACATGAAACATCTAGAACGGGCAGATGCAGAGACCAAAGCTCATCCGTGGTCACCAGGGGTGGGAGGTAGGGTGGGGAGGGGAAGTCATTGCTGAAGGAGCACTGAGTTTCTGGTAAGGGTGATAAAAAAATCTTTTGGACATAAATAGTGTGGATGGTTCAACAACAACAACAAAAATAAACATGCCCAAAACAAAACAAAGCAGTGGCGAGGGGCTTGGTATAGCACCTTTGAGCAGAGGTGGATCCCACAGTGTAGCGGAGACCTCCTGGGCCGCCTCTGGGGCTTTCTGCCCAGCAAGTCAGCGGGGCAGCTGGCCTCCAGCACCAGGGATGAGTATTGTCTGATTCTGAACACTATATACATGGAGTCAAACACTAGGTCCTTGTTTATGGTTTAGACTGGATTCTAATCCCAGCTCTGTAGCTCACTCGCTGTCTGACCTTGAGCAAGTGATCCTCGCTGTCCAAATATCAGGCAACTGGATACAAGGCACATCTCCCTAGAGTCCCAGAGAGAACAAACAAGGTGGGGGGTGGCTGGCCAACCCCAGAGTATAACCTTTTAGAAACAGAGATGAAGTGGATTAACGTTTACTTATTTAAGCCTCACATACGTCACACGAGATGCGTAAAATAACGTGATTTTGTAAAGACTGGTTTTTGCCGTCTTAGCTGTGTGCTAATCTTCGCTTGCGCCCTCGACGTCAGTGTTTTACCATCACGGGAGCCACTTAGAGTCACCGAGCCGCTAGCCAGAGCTCGTGTGCCTTCATTTCCATCCGAGTTGTTTGAGAGGCGGCATTTCCTGAGCCCAGGTGTGACGAGGTCACCACAAATTGCCTCTCAGCCCACCAGTGCCCATTCACAAAATGTTGTCAGTGATCTCCACAACATAACCACTTACTAGATAGCACAATAAAGAGCCCTGGTGGTGCACTGGTTAAGTGCTCGACTGCTAACCGAAAGATTGGCAGTTCGAACCCACCGCCCACTCCACGGGAAAGAAATGTGGCTGTCTGTTTCCATAAAGATTACAGCCTTGGAAACCCTATGGGGCAGTTCTACTCTGTCCAGTAGGGTCGCTATGAGTTGGAATCAGCAGCACACAACACCACCACAATAGCACAGCAGTTAAGTGCTCCGCTGCTAACCAAAAGGTCGGCGGTTCAAACCCAGCAGCAGCTCCACAGGAGAAAAGATGTGGCCATCT